ATTACAAATTTTTTCAATTTTTTCCATCTCATTATTCTTATCATCCTGCTGTTGCTTATCTTCATCATTATTTTCTAACAACATCTTTGGACATCTTCATCGTTATCGTCGTCAGCATTTCAGTCATCATCATTGTCAAAACTAACTAGGGGTAGGCAAACTACGGCACGCGAGGCATTGCTCGCCTAAAATAGGTCGTCAGCCAGACATTATGACCAAAAAAGAAGTCACCCATCTTGAAAAAATTCTCCCCGGGTCGAAGAAATTTGCTATTTAAGTACATATGCGGCCCTTCAAAGGTAAAATAGTTCTCAATGTGGCCCTTGCAACAAAAAGTTTGCCCGCTTCTAGGTCTAAACTACAATAATCTCCAATAACTAATCATAATTTTTATTATATTTTTATTGTTATATCATCATCACCATGGTCTTCACCATTTCATCATTTCATGATTATTTTATTTTCATTTATAGTGTTTTTTTCCTATTATTCTCACAAATAAAATCGTTTTAGACATGATTTCACGCTGAAAATTATCACCATCATTAATATCATCGTACTCATTTGGGATCATTACTGACGTCATCATTTCATCATGGGTATCATCCATCATGTCGTTATCATTTTTATGGTGATTACATTTTTTAAGCTACATCTTCACTGTCAACTTCACAATCATCTTGGTAATCTTTGTCCTTAATTCACCATCAATCAATTTTTCCATTTTTCAATTTTGTCATCTTCTCTATCATCGTCGTCGTCGTCGTCTTCATTCTTCTTATTATTATAATTATCATCATTATCGTCATTATCGTCATTGCCATGGCTAAGATATTTTCATCATTTATACATATTCGTCATCATCACCATCGTTGTCATCATCGCCATCTTCAGCTTGGGACAATGTCTTGTTCATCATCAATCATTATCAATCAATCCATTCATCATCATCCCTAACACCATCATCATCGTCGTCGTCGTCATCATCATCATCATCATCGTTGTCGTCGTCGTTATGGTATCATCCTTTGAATTTAACCATTTGCATCCATGCTGATATACATTGAGACCACCTTTTGAGACACAATAACAACGACAATATGAAGAAAAAAATAGAATAAGAAGCAAGAGACACAATAACAACATAACCTATCATCTTCACCATACTCATTCTCATCAGCATCAACATTCTCATCTTTATCATCGTAGCATAGGAACATCATCCTAAAAGCTAAATAATTTTTTATATCTAGGCCCTGGAAAATATTTTCTTCGTAATGTCCGTCATCATCATCGCCATCATCATCGTGGACGTCATCATCACCATCATTATCATCATCACCATCATTATCATCATCATCATCATTATCATCATCGTTGGTATCATTGTTGCCTACATTATTACCTTCATCATCATCAACATCGCCATCAACATTGTTCTAATCATCATCATCATCATCTTCGTCGTTGTCGTTATCACATTACCATCATCATCATCATCATTTTCGACTCCATTATGACCATAAAAATAATATTATTGTTGATGTTAAAGTTTTGCTATGCCTGGCTTCTCTTATATTAATAAAGGAATAAAACGTAAAACAGAATCACTATTTATTATTATTATTATTATCATTATTGTTATTATTATTGTTTTATTATTATTATTATTAGCCTGCGTTAAATATTTATTATCATTTTACTACCGGAATTGAATATATCAGCTGAGGTTTTTCCATTCAGGCTTCAGCTAACGGTTACTTCATAAAATTTTTATCTTTAGATGATGATGATGATGATAATAATATTAATGATGACGATGATGTTGATCATGGCGTAATTGTGGTGATGTGGAATAAAAATAATTCTATCATATGATGATGACGATGATGACGATGATGATGATGACGATGATGATGATGACGATGATGATGACGATAAGGATAATGTCGAGATAAAAGTGATGGTGATAGTGTAGTTTTGTTTGCAGTTGTTGTTCTGCCTTCTTCTCTTATCAGCGAGATGCCAATGAAAGAAGTTTATGAATTATACAAAAGAACATTCTCTCGCTTCACACACCATCACCACAACAATAACAATAATAAGAACGCCAACAATAATAACATCAATAACAGCAATATAAACTACAATAACAATTAAATAACGAAATTAATAACAGTGGCAACAACAATAACATCAAAACCGTGGCAAAGAATAACTTTAAATAACCGAACAAAAATTATTTTAAATAATAATAACATAACCATCAGCAACAACAGCTTTGATAACTTAACCTCAATAGTCTCAACAACAACGATTCCGTTAACTTTAATAATTATAACAACAAATTGTTCCAACAACAACAACTACAACCACAACAACAACAACAATAATAATAATAACAACAACTAAATGGTTTTATTGAAAATATAAAAATAAAAAAAATTAACAGTGACAAATCAGCAAAAAAATCTTAATGCGGATTGCAAATATAAATAAT